GAGTCCAAATCGACAGAAGTCACCAAAACACAAAACATAATGTAAGTCTTTCAAAAATGTATACCATGGACAATGAAGGGGTTTTAATGCATTTCAAGTTGATGCAAGTCAGTTTGAAGCATTGTTATCAGTATGTAGTTGTGTAATTCCTTTTGTTTATCACGTCTTCCTTCAGGGGTTTGGAACTAAAGATCAAGGGGCTGCTGGGATCCACTGAAAAATGGGAAAGCATTGATGACCTGAAAGAAATATTCTGGTTCAAAAAGACAACAATGTCAGGTAACTTTTCTTTTCAAGGTCACATATTATGCAAAATACACAACAACCATCAACCATCAGATGCTAGAAGAAGGTGTGTGGTGTCTGTTACAAGTTATATTTGATCTGATTGTGATGTGCAATAAGTGAATTAATAAAAAGTATCTTAACTTTAATGAAACATCTTTTGCCCACCATGTGATGATGGGTGTGACGACAAGTCGGGCACCTAATTCGTTCTCGTTTTTCCGACTTGACCAGGCTTTCATATGTATTTTCCAATTAAGAAACTTGTTTTTCTGATGTGTCTGACATCGAAGAATGCAGGGTGAGTTCTGTCCTCTCAGTTTGCCCTTCTTCTGTAAACAATAGGGCATGGTGCAACGATGCTAAAGCCCCTCAAGCCCTTCAAGCTATAGACACAGGAAAAGCCTTTTCTGCACAAGGCTGAAACAAAGGGGTTTATAGGCATGCTAAAATACAGGATCAGAGGGGGGTTTGGTTAGAAACTTCACAAACATGTTTGGGAAGCTTTGAGACTTATTTAAACCAGTTTATAATGAGTATAATATGTGACCTTTAAGTTTTCCACTTCTGTTCATTACAGTCTGTACCAAATGTGCTAGCAATCAATCCAGTAGTCATCATTTCAAAGAAGCAGAGAGTATCACCACATCTTGGTCACTTTGGGCATGGATTTTAATATTCTGACTGCATTTTACTTCCATGAACAGACAAAGCCAATGATCTTGCTGATCATGTTAAACTTGAGACCTGAAATGCAATCATTTTATACATTAGATGCGTTTATTGTTGTTCTTCCAGAGTATGTTGCAGAGCATTGGAAAGAAGACGACTTTTTTGGATACCAGTTCCTGAATTCTGTCAACCCAAATGTGATCAAGAGCTGCTCAGAGCTACCCCAAAACTTTCCCGTGACGGACGAGATGGTGAAGCAGTTCCTGGAAAAGGGAAACTCTCTGCAGAGTGAAATCGAGGTTTGGTAGATCAGCGGCTTTGATAGTGATCATTCTTTACATTAGCATACTATTTCTATGTTCATCAGCTGTATTTATGTCACAGTGTCGCAAGTCCTTGAGTAATATTACAGTACATCAGAGACAGCTTTTGATTGCTTTAAAAATATTTTTTTTCCCTGACTTCTCCTCCTAATACAGAAAGGCAACATATTCCTCTATGATCAGAGGATAATGGATGGTATACCAACTAGACTCTATGATGGAGAACCTCTGCATGTTGCTGCTGGTCTCTGTTTGTTATACTTGAACCCTGAAAACAAACTGAAGCCCATTGCAATACAGGTATTCATCTGAATCAGCAAATCACAGATTGAATACCTAAATGTGAAATCTCAGGTCCCATTCCATAGTGCTTCATTATGTTTACAGAAGTCGTTTTAATCTTGTGTGTCTTAAAATAAAATGTTTGTTCTCTCATTGTAGCTGTCTCAACAACCTTCAGATCAGAGCCCCATCTTTCTGCCCAGTGACCTCGAGACAGATTGGCTGCTGGCCAAGATGTTTATCAAAAATGTAGATGCGATTGATCACCAAGCGGTCCAGCACCTCATGAAGACTCACTTTCTGTCAGAGGCCTACACTGTCGCCACCCTCCGCAGCTTCCCAGTCATTCATCCCATCTACAAGGTACATTTAACAGCAGGATAAGAGTGTCTACTCTTACAGTAAATAGTAAGGGTGAGTTCAGCAAATGGAAAAAGATACCAAGAACAATAGTTACGATAGTTATTTTTCTTATGTGCGTAAACACTTCTATGCACTCATCTTACAGCCAATCATTTCAGTTTTCACGTTTTCATTTTCAAATTTCTTCAGTAATATCCATTTAACTATCTAATATATTTAGCTCAACAGTTTTTTCCTTGTCCATTTTCACTTCATTTTCTTTTACTAAAAAATAAGTCATAGTACCTTGGAAGCCATAAGGTTGACTATACAACAAAAGGTTGTACTTCTTTGACCTTTTCAAATCAAAACAATTATCAAAAATTATAAATAGCAATTTCTCCTTTCCCATTACTTGTGGATTCCCTCGTACACCTGAACCTTTGCATCAAGCGCGGTTAACTTGTATGAATAGTAGCATACTATGCAGTAGTACTCATCACAATCAAGTGCTGCCTGTGTTCATTAAGGCATTAGAATCTTACTTTGACTTAAAATGTCTCTCCCTCTCTATTACAGCTGCTGTTTCCACACTTTCGGTCCACTCTCCACATAAACACTGGAGGCCGAACATCTCTTTTTGGACCTGACGGGGCTTTAAGTATTGTATGGCTAGTCAAAACACATTTCCATAATATTTGAGATGTGGTGGAGTTCATTTTTAGCCTTATACTTATTTTTTTGTACTTTGGAACACATCATTGTTGGTCTTTCTTCATTTTTGATTTCAAGAGTTCCCTTGGATATGATGGGATGACAGAGCTCATGAGAAAGTCTCTCTCTGAGATGACCTACAGCTCCCTCTGTCTGCCAGACGACATCACTGCCCGAGGCCTGGACTCCATCCCCAATTTCTACTACAGAGACGACGGCCTGAAGTTGTGGAAAATCATCAACAGGTTACTTATTCCTAACTATATATACCTAACTTCTGTCTCCTCCAACAGGTTTCTGTTATTTACATTATTTTCCATAATTGTGTTTTTTACCAGCTTTGTAAAGGCCGTTGTGGAGTACTACTACCCATCAGACAGTGAGGTCAAAAAAGACACAGAACTGCAGGAATGGATAAGTGAGATATTCACACATGGCGTCTTAGGAAACAACGCCTCAGGTATTTCACCCGTGTTAAGAAATACTTGGCAAACACAACCTGCATGTAAAGGGTGAAACTGAATAATCAATTGAAAATGATTTCACTTCCAACAGGGTTTCCATCTTGCTTTAATACTGTTGAAGAAGTGAACAAGTTTATCACCATGGTGATCTTCACAGCTACAGCTCAACATGCTGCAGTCAATAGTGGACAGGTGAGGATTTTTTTGTTGTTGTTGGGAAACAGAATTTTTATAAATGTTAGAGTATTAGGTTTGTTTTAACACTTTGAATGCATGGAGCAGATCTGCATGTGCTTAACTACTACTACTTTTAATGTTATCCTACAGTTAGAGCAGCTGCAACCCATCTGAGTATATATATATATAAATAAAAAGTAAACCGATTTTATTATTTACCAATATTTAGTATGACTACAACTCCTGGATACCCAATGCCTCACTCCTGCTGCACAAACCTCCTCCGGCCGCAAAGGGTCAGTCAAGCATGGAGACTATTTTGGAGACCCTTCCAGATGTTGGAGAGACTGTCAGCTTTGTCGCAATACTGTGGCTGCTTTCAGAGCAATACACTGACGAGGTAAGACCAGTGTTTATGAACCCACTCCTTACTTCATTTCTGTCATGTACTGCTCTCACTTACTGTTTCATTTTGTTGTTTTAATAGGTTCCCTTGGGTGCTTATCCAGAAGAACGGTTCGATGAGCCTGCTGTTAAGAGGATGATTAAAGAATTTCAGGGGGAGTTGTCCTACCTCGATGAGGAAATCAGAGCAAGAAACTCAGAGCTTGAAATACCTTACACATATCTGATCCCTAGTCAGATAGAAAACAGTGTAACTATTTAGGAAATGCATGCATATCATCAACTCTTCTCTGTCAAGTGGTGTGTTCACTACTGCATTCAAGCAAGCTTGGGTCACCCCACAGGGCAGAATGAGTCATTTCATTATGCTTAAAATAAATGCATATGCAAAATCCAAATAAAGATGGCTTGATCTGTGTTAATATGTCTGTCCCCAAACTATTTATTCTTCAACTACAAGCATTCTTAACCTTCTAAAAAGAATAGCCTAACACATAATCTATCTATCTGTACAATTCCGTTATTACACTGTACATGAATACTGGTTTTATTGTTTTTAAGTTGAGTTATTTTCATCAGAAAAGTCTGTATCTTGGTCTGCTAAACACAATGAAAAGTTGTAAAAGATTTCATTAAAATCATCCCATGGTTGTTCAAATCTCCGATAGACAAGGTAACATTTGTTAAACAGACATAGGCATACATCCTGCTACTTCGAGTTTGCAGTTTATCAGTGACCTCCTCTCTACTGCTCATTCATATGTCTATGAAGTAATGCTTTTTTAACCAAAAGATCTAAGCTCAACTTAAAAAATACATTCTAGCTATTTTATCAGATCAGGTTTATTTATTTTTTTTTTTTAATCCAACAGAGATGGATTGGTACAAGGGATATTCTTGTATTGGTTAACAATGAAGACAACAACTTCCATGATCCTGTATTTCATGCCACGAGAGCATCAAAAACGACACATATAATAATTATTTTGACTCAGCCCCCTAGCCACAGAAATAACACCATTTATAGGATGTGTTATGTGTTGCTGTTGAGCTCAAGTGCCTTAAATAAATACATACATTCTTTTAAACTAATTGATGAATTGGCTAATACAATAAAAAAAATAAGAGAAGCGTAGAAATACTACTCAGTATAGGCATATAACCATTCAAACGTATGCGATTAAAAGGAGATACTCTTGTTAAAATGATACTCGAGTTTAGAACCTATTTAGTTATAGTATTGAAAATCATTTTAAAACACAGTGATTCAGTCGTTTGGTGCCTGGTAATTCTGACTGAGTGAGACCTCTTTGCTTCTTCCCCTCTTTGGATGAAAAGACCACGGTACACCCTCGAGCCCGTTATTTTTAGACGAGACAACACAGACTTTGGTCCACATGGATTTTACTCAAGAGCAACATTAAAGGCTGTACTACCATAAAACAGTTGAGGACACATCATTTAGTTCAGGTTTGTCACAATGTTGTTTAGATTCGGCGTCATTCTCACTCCGGACACCTCGGATGTCAAGGTGTTCGTTTTGGGCTCGCGCGAGGAAATGGGCCAATGGGACCCGAGCAGAGCGGTCCAAATGAAAGCCTCACAGAAGCAGGTGTCAACTCATGAACCGTGTCTGTGGATAGGAGAGGTGCAGCTGACAGAGCCGTGCAGAGACACACTGTGGTTCAAGTTCGTCAGAAGAGTCAGAGGGACTTTTATCTGGGAAGGTACACATCAATTACACGTTTCGCCGCGTGCGTAAGGTTATCATTTGCCACACAGAATTAGTCAACATTTCAGGTAGAAAAAGACAACAACACGCCGCCATGTTGGTTTATTTTTGTATTGCATCCTTTGCGCCACTAGATGGGGATAGTGTGACACTTGGACGTTTTATAAATGCAAATAGATTTCAGTGTACTTGTATGTTTAAAGGGAATATAAAGCCTATTTATGACACAACCTAAAAAAAAAAATGTAATGGCAGAAATATAACAGTGACACTTTTTTCTATCGACTCAGTTACATGGATTTCAGTGCAACCTGTTTGAAGAATAGGCTTCGTTTTCATGTCAAAAACATTTTTTTATAGCAGTATTCTGAGGCTAAGTTCACTTTACATTTTGTGTAGTTCACCTATACCTTTTCCAGATAGTGGAAATTACTTCAACTCAACATGAATTAGACGAGACCCATTTTCCCACTCTGTACCTGATGTTTGATTTGTGGCTAATTCTCTTTAATGCAACTCAGTCCCTTAATGAAATCTACCTGAATTAGTAGGCTCAATATAATATTTCTCAAATAATATTTTCATGAGCACTGTGTTCAAAACGTCCTTACAGATGATATTTACTAACTCACTGTCCTTTCTTCTTCTCTGTCACCAGGCAGTGGTCCGAGCCATGATAGATGTTGTGCATTTGATGAGAGTAATGTGGTGGATGGAGTTTACTGCAACCCCATTGGCCACTGGATAGAGGAAACGGGACACACGGATGAAATGAAACACACCACCAGTTTTTACTTCGGTGTGGCTGGTCAGAAGGCCATGCATTTCTCCAGGTAATCCTGCACAATAACATCCATCTGCAGGATGTTTGTATGGGGACACTGTGAGTGTCAAGGCAAAACATGGTGGTTTCACATTAAGGCAGTCTGGATTCAGATGTTAGAGTAGGGCAGCATGGGAGACATTATGTCATTAAGAGGCAGTCTGACTCATTTTGATCAGTTCGTTCTAATTGTGAGCGATTCAAAGGAGAACGGACAGTGGAAATCTGTAGAGACATCAGGTGATAATTCAAGCAAACAAAAAAAGTAACCCTCTGTGATCTATAGTTAGACAACAGCAAGTTGGATCATTACTTTTTTTAGCTAACGTTCCCACCTGATAGGAAAACGTAACTTTCCTAGCACCCCGTAATGATTGCCAGCTGCCAATAGGAATTGAGTAAATGCTATTAGCTGCCGTGTCTGAGCTTTTGGTATCTTATAAGTTATATATATATATCTTGTTTTACATGAATATATGACCCAACATTCCTCCAGGTATTCATTACCCATTGTTCTTTCAGTTAGTCATCAATCGATAATGGTGAAATAAAACATATTCGTTAGCTCACCCCTGTATATTTTTTTTATACTTGTATAAGACTCAACTATCTATTTGTTTATTCCAAACAAAGGAAGCAGGTTTATTTTATTAGTTTATTTGAATCAGGGACAATGTACAGCTGTGGCTCAATTGATAGAGTTGTCGCTTCTCAACCGGAAGGTCGAGAGTTCGATCCCCAGCTGGCCAAATGTCCGATGTGTCCTTGGGCAAGACACTTAACCCCAAATTGCTCCCTCTGCTTCGGTGGTGGTGTATGAATGGGATTAGTTACTTCTGATGGATGTTACTACATAGTGATCATCACTACCATCAGTGTGTGATTGGGTGTGAATGGGTGGGTGTGACATGTGGTGTAAAAGCGCTTTGAGTAGTTGGAAGACTAAAAAAGCGCTATATAAGCTGAAGTCCATTTACCATTTACAAGATAACATTATTCTCAGAAGAGTAAATAAGCTTTGTACCAGATTTAGCTAAATAGCTAATTTCCAGCTGTAGTCCCAGGGCAGATTATGGCAAAAGTAAACTACAACTCAACCAGTCATGCAGTACACATGCGCACACATTTCATAATACTGTTACTGAGGGGGGGTCAAGCATGGTATTGATTTTTCAACAAACTCTTGGCATGTAAAAAAAATTTAAAAAATAAAAAATTCGGAATAATTTTTTGAAGGTATTTTCCAAAAAAATATGTTCTCTACCTACAAACAGCCAGTATTATTTTTGAACCTGTAGAAAAGACAAAAAGAGATCCATCATTCCTCCCCCACTGTAACAAGCTGCAGTGTTTTAAGTTCTATGCCTTTTATGATGAGATCGTCCGTACAGATTTAAAACAATCTTCTTCAGTAGTTCATTTCTAAATGTCTTATACGTGCAGGGCACTTAGGTCACACTTTTCTTTCTTCTTGAAAGCTGTAAGACTTTCAAACTTTTTACAAGAGCCTCTTTCAAGGCAGACTAAAGCCTCAGTCACCTTCTTATGCTCACTCCTTTGTTTTTTAACCTTGCTCTCTCCCATTTCGTTATAATTGCCGTCTGTCCCTTTAAAATGATTGTCCTTTAGAAGAGTAGACTACACTTCGATTATCCCTTCCTCAACCTTGTTGGAGACTCTGGAGGAAAGGAGATGGCATTGTTCAGAATTCCCTTTTGCTTTTTTTAAGGCAACTCGTACAGTGATTGAAAGGTACTGAGCACTGAAAATGCTCACTTCAGTATCCTCCTACAGGCATTTGTTTTTATTCAAATCTCTGTCCTATTCATGAGCTTCTCATTAAAACACTGTGATTTGTCTGTGTCTGTTGATACCAGGCTGTTCACTTTAAATCAGTCTCCAGTATAATTGAAAACATATTCAGAGAATTTACAGAGGAAACTTCAACGGATAATGCCTTGTTGCATTATTTATCACAAAACATTAGAATAAACTTCCAAGATTTTCATTTGCATGTTCATTGCTTTGCATTAGTGACATTTATTCATCTAGTGTTTGTAAGATTTGAACATGAAGCACTTCTTCTGTCTGTCCTATTTTCCTTTTTGAATGTTTATAGAAAAGTACATTTAGGAAATCCAAGACTCCCTGTTCAAGGTTTCAGGTTTTCCCGTTTTTGCTACAATTTTGGCCGCACTAGCATTACAACTCCAGCAATGGCAAGGTGCATTGGGCAGTTAGTCCTGCAATTATGGTCCCGACGGAAGAATCTATTGTGTGGATTGTATCTGCAGGATTCTAGCGTTGACACATTTGCTGTATGTAGCTTAACATGAAATAAGTTGGTCAGGCTTAGAGGAGAAGAGGTAAGTTAATGTTGTTAAGATACAGATACTGGTTTCAGTATTAGCCAGCAATACTTCCTGGAGTGCGCTCTCAGTATCATTAGTATGCCAGTCAATGCACTGATCCCTTACTATAGTCATTTTCTCCAAATAATCGAGTGGTTTCAGGTAAACGATAACAGAAACAATACAATGTGGGGCTAGCAGAGTGTAATAATAGGGGGGGGGGTTCACCAGTGTTGTATGTCTATTTTGAATCAAACTAGAATCAGTGAGGTGTTTGGTATTGGACAATACACAAGTCAGTGTATTGTATTGAGTATTGAGTAGGGAAAAAAAGTTATGATAGAACTACAAAAAAAGGTCAAACTAATGACTGAGGGGATGCAGGTTGGTGTACCCCTGTATGCCTTCTTTTTGTATGACACTCAGAGCCTTGGTACATCCGCCACAGCAGAAATGAGCCTCAGGCCCCCGAGGCAGTGAGCACATAACGTGCATAAGAATGAGTCGGCTTGGCTGGTGCCATCAGGTTCTAATTTGTGTCCCAAGACCTTACAAGGCTCGTGTCAAGGACCCGTGTTCAGTAGGAAGCATGGTGCCCTTGTATGATACCTATTAATAGCTTTTTAAATTACTCTCTGAGACCTTGCATCTGTGTAGCCCCTCGTATCATACACACTGACCTCTGCAGTAACTCATTATATGAATCAAAGGGACTTTAACTCGCTGTCTTGTACCTGCCTGGATTCTGATGCTAAGGTTCAGAGGAGAAGGGGCCTGAGGGTCTTATAATCATTATTGTAATGGGGTCTTATTAAAATGGAGTGGAACAAGTGAGGTATTTCAAAATGGTTAAATGTTAGATATTCAGTTGTGAATTATTAAAAAAAAAACCTAGGTAGAAATAAACACGGCAGAAATATGTGCATTTTCCAAAAGATGGTATTAAATTTGAAATTGGATGTAGGACTATCAATCCCACAGGACAGATTGTAGTAAAATAGCTTTCAAACAACTGGTAGAGAACACTTTGAAACCAAGTCAAATTTCCCCAAGGGGACAATAAAGTGTATCGTATAATATCGTACTTTACAGTGGAAAAAAATGGAAGAAACAAAGTGAAACTCTGAAGTTGCAGAAAGAAAAACTGATTCCCTTAAGACTACTCGATGGAGCTGTTGGACTGTATCGATGGCTTTGTTATGAGACTGGATCTGATAAACAGCCAGTCAACACCAGAGACTGTCACTGCTTTTTACCATGTAGGCTGAATATTTTGTTTCCTTTCTGTTACGGGAAACCTTCTTGGGCTATTGACTTTATTCATGCTAATTATTGGAGTGCAACAACACATCGATATGGATCATATATGTATTGGATGATCAAGGATGCAGTAATAATATAACCTATGATCATCTTTAAGATACACTGAACATTACATCAGGTTAACAATATATAGATGCACATTTTTAACATGATATCCTTTAATACAGCCTTAATAAAGTTCAAATCCATGGTTGCATTATTAATTGCATTAAAATTTCTCACAGAGGTTCATATTCAGAAGCCTCTTAAACTCAGCCCCCAGAAGCGTATCATAATGACTTAAACAAAATTAATGACTCCCGTTCATTTGTCCTCAGGGTGCTGCCTCGTGTTTGGCTGGGCAGCTGCCCTCGACAGGTGGAACACGTGAAGATAAAGATGAAGCATGAGTTGGGCGTTACTGCAGTGATGAACTTCCAGACAGAGCGGGACGTGGTGAACAACTCAAGTGGCTGCAGGCGTGACCCTGAGGAGGTCATGACCCCCGAGACCATGATGCACCTGTACAAAGACTGTGGCCTGGTGTATGTGTGGATACCCACAGCCGACATGAGCACTGAGGGTAAGACGAGTTTTATTAGACCAAAATAATACATTCATAAATAACAATAGTGCTCATCACCTTTCTAAAAGATACTGTAGTGTCAGAATCATGTAATCAAACTGGTATTTAAAGGGTTAAATTCCTGATAATTATTCAGTATTTGATAGTTTTGAGCAAGGCTGGAGTTGTTTAAGAGGTTTATGCAAAAAAAAGTAGAAAAAAAATATTAATCTGTTCTATTTTTAAAGCAGTTTTTGGAAATTGGACATTTTCGCCCTCCGATGTCCAAACAGGGAACTACATTTTAAATCTGACGCTACACAAAAACTAACAATGCATCAAAGTCAATATTTTGGATAATCTTTGGCATATCCAAGACTGATTTAAAAAAAAATCCCCCAGCCACCAAATATTTGTAATATGGAAAATAACTAATCTTTGTGGGGTTTTTTTCTTCATAAATAACAACGGTGACGTCAAGTAATCAAACTGGCATTTAAAGGGTTAAATTCCTAAAAATGATTGAATGTTTGGTAGTTTTGGGCTGGGCTGAAGTTGTTTAAGAGATGTATTTTTGTCCTTAGTGACTTAAGAGGGTAGTAAATTAAACTGATGCCTGAGGGTTAAGCCTTAATATGTGTATCGAAATTCCAACACTCAATTGAACATGGAGCTGAATCCCTGATCAAACCACATTGAAGGCCTCTGAATATTTGTTTGGTGTTTGGGTGTCATGTCAAATGTTTATATCTGTGTTTCTTCACTTTATTTTTTTAATGTTGCAAATACAGCTGTTGTGATGAAAGACAAATTTCAGACCTGGACAATTAAATTCAATCAATCAAAAAGAAACACATTCTAGTCACTGGTCGTTAGTTATCTCCATCCTTCTTCTTTGTGTTATCATCTTCTTCTGCAGGCCGAATCAGGATGCTTCCTCAGGCTGTGTTCTTGCTTCACGGCCTCCTGGAGAATGGTCACACAGTCTACGTTCACTGTAACGCTGGAGTGGGCAGGTCGACGGCTGCTGTGTGTGGCCTGCTCATGTACGTCCTGGGCTGGAGCCTGAGGAAGGTGCAGTACTTTGTAGCAGCTCAAAGGCCTGCTGTGTACATAGACGAGGAGGCTTTAATCCAGGCTCAAGCCGACTTCATGCTGAAGTTTGGTCAGTTACGATCAACCATCTCTTACCTGGAGACATGAGAGTTTAAGTGTCTTTGCGCTGGAGCAGAATTTACAGGAATGATAAGCTAAACTGGACTTGACTTTCGGTATCTAAAAGCATACTGTGTAGTCAGCATTAAAGGTGCCTGAAGGTGAAGAAACCTATAGCGAGAAAATTAACTTGCTCCCACTTAAATCTAATGTACGTAAATGACCCACTTCATCTGAGTGGCTTTCCAATTCTAGTTGATCCCCAAGTATCTAAGAAAGGCTCTGCTGGCTGCCAGCGGAGATGTTAAAAGCAATAAATCCCACAGTGACGCGTTCGCTTTTAACTTCAGGAATTAGTCTCTGTGACGTTAAGCACTTTCTCTTGCAAATTGTGCTGTTGGAATCAGCCGAGGTTTTTCAGAACATGTATGCAGGTGGGATTGGAAAGACCTTTTCTTAAAGTCTTTTTGGCAATAAACATAACTGAGTTGACATTTTCAGAAGGCAACTTTTTAAATGCATCATGCGACGAGGAAGGAGGATTATCCCTTAATTGTGTCGGCATGTTTGTGTAGTTTTTTTCCACAGGTAAAAGGGATCTTTGCCTTTCTGTTTGGGAGGGTTTTTTTTTTTATTGCTGCATCAAAACACCCCTCTTTGCAAGAACAACAAGTCAGTTTCTAAAACCAAAAAGCAATGCCCCCTAAGCTGCCAGACAAGATTAAAGCTCCGCCCCCTTCTCCCTCAGAGCGCTTGATAGCATTTCATCTTTATTTATTTATCCGGCGGATGCTATTCCAACCATCTCCGAAATAATGAAAACAACATCCCCTGCCAGACCATGTTAATGCATACATAATAAGACATTATTGGAAGATTGTTTGTTATAAATTTTGCGCTTCACTGTCTAGGCTCCTTTTGAAGATAGATTGCTTTTTTTCAAATACATTATCTTGCTGCCTGGCCCTGATTTAAGAAGGTTAATGCATCAGAGGGGAGGAACCATTTTTCTCCTTAAGTACAAGTCGTATACGTTATTACTTTTAACTGAGTCCCGTCAGAAAACAAACAGCACCTTATGAGGGGGTCAGCGGGAATACGGGGGCGAACTTCCAAATCATTTACAATTAGTTCTTCTCATATTTAAGAAGCAAAATGTGAACTGTTGAAAAGGAAAATGTCTGTGTTTACAGTCCCTATATGTGCAACAATGCCGGGGCTCATCACTTGAAGGATGCCAGTGTAATTTGTCAACATCTTGCATTTCTTCCACCGGGCTTCTGTCAGTGATTGATGTCATTAAGTGTTAGCAGTCCACTTGATTTTCAGGATCTGCCAATCAGCTACACCAATTTCCCCGAATCTGTGCATTCAAATTAGAGCCAAAAGTAGCAACCGTCAACAGACAGCTTCTTAAAGTGATGAAGATTTATTCCAAAAGGAAACCAGAAATAAATGTTCTGAGAGAATACACTGTGTACCTATTTGTGTGGATTGTTTCTGTTTGAAATGTCACTTGTGGTTGTCTTTAGTCCCTCTTTTAGTCTTCTTTAACAACCTTATTCTTTAAATTTGCTCTGCAGGACAGCACATCCTGTTTTTTGTTTCCCCTCCTGCTATCCATCCTAGCAGAGGGTCTTATTGATTACTTTGAAGGTAAGGATGCATAAAAGGTCCAGCAGACAAAACCTAACCTGACCTAAAAAATCCTGTGTCTGGCTATTCATTGCTGAGTATGATAGTTTCTTAAACCAGGAGATATTTTAGTGAAGTCATCTGTGTGTATTTCCTTTATATCAAGAACCCAAATTAAAAACATTAAATAGACAACTATGTCTACATTAGAATATTATTACTTAAAAGATTTAAAAGACGTCACACGTTAGTCTAAAATTGATTTTCCTACATTTTCTTAAATTTCTTTTACAGTGTGAGAGATTAGAAACACATTTAGATTAAAGATGGAGGTACTTAATGATTTAATCCGTTTAAAATGCTTCAGTGATGTTTGGGGCATTAATGAAAAATGATGAGTCAGGTTCAGAGTATCAGATTCCTGCTGGATGATGATGTAGAATATCCCTGCAGCCAAACCCAGACAGGCAGGTGGGCGAGGGGCTTATATTAAAAACAAATTGGTTACACATTATGATATTAAGGATATCTTAATGAGTGATATGGATATTCCACACATTCTTAGCTGTTTCAAATCGGACTCACTTTTAGTGGAAGCTCATGACACAGCATGATATCAGCATTGAGAAAAAGATGATGTAATGCCAGAGTGTTCTCAGTCCTACAAAAAAGTCTAAACTGCCAGATCTCATGAGCTGTGAAGCCTGTACTGTGTAATTGTTAGCAGTGGGAATAATATCAGTCCGTGTATCAAAGGCTGCAGGCAGGACCCCAGTGCTACACCCCAGGCAGCACAGGCATCCCTGGTGGGCTCAGGATCAGTGCTTTAGACAGTCGCTGTGACACACAGTTGCAGATTGTTATCAAGACACCAGGAGGACATTGCAGACTGTAGCCTGGAACTCTGATGGTCAAATTAACTTGAGACATGACTCATGAACCAGCTGGATAGTAAGATTACAAAGGAAATGAGTGAGTTCACAGCATCATAAATGTTCCCTCAGCATCTGGATTAGTTATACAGAACTCTGACTCAACAGTTTTTTTTTTTCTGTCGAAGACTTTATTTAATCTGAAGTCCATGGCACACTGAAATTAACTTTACTATATTTTTATTGTGCGCACAATAAAAATATAGTAAAGTTAATTTCAGTGTGCCACGGGCTTCAGATTTTTCATGATTTGATCCTGCAGACATGAGCACCTGGGAGCGTGTTTAGGCTGTGCATGGGGTACCCTGTTGACCATACTTTATTTCATCTGTTTGGCTAAATTAAGCGTCTTTAAAGAAGCGATGGCTGATTCAAGCTAAAGAAACAAACAGCAGCAGCTTGAATTGAGAAGGAAGTCCAACATGGAGGCACAGGCAGAAACTGTAGTTGAGAAGCATCATGGCTAACTTGGCCATGCTGGGGAGAGTAGGTAAGTAAAGCTTATTTATAAAGCACCCGTTCCAGAACAGACGTCACAAAGTGCTTCACAATGAAGAATTGAACAGAGATACTACAAACAGACAGACAGTCACATAAAATCAAAGGCAAGTCTGAACAGATGAATCTTTAGCTGCTTTTTAAAAAAGGTGTCCACAGAGGTCAAGGCTCTCAGTTCCGGGGGAAACAGAGAGCATGAGACCATGCTGGTAACTCTGGAGGACAGGAGCAAGTGATGCAACTTTCAGGTATCACTGGTCTACCAGAAAGGTTTGTAGGGAGTAATGCTGTCCAATACCTTACACGCTGGCTTCCAAATTGGCAATCTTCAGGGGGAAGTCATGCGTGCAAATCGTATCTACAGTATCAGAAATAAAAAAAGAAGGTGGACACTTGCACTCTGATTTTCTGTGTTCCCCGTTCCCCAAGACGTCCTCCGTGCTGCAAGGGAGCCCGTCCTCATCGATGAACAGAGGATTCGTTTTTTTGTCTGATTACAGCAGTCATACTGTAAAAGCATCACCAGGTGTTCTTTCAGTTACATGAACACCGCCCCCAATGAAGGGGTGGAATTGTTCCTCTTTTAGCCTGCTATACTGAAGGTTAAGGGAGCTGGCCAAGGTAAGCAGGACCCATTATTTCATCGTGTCCCTCCAGGTCTGTAGGGGGCAGTAATTGAACAGTATGCCAATTTAAGAAATGGGCCAGAAAAGTTGTTTCCTCAATTATCGCCTGTCTCCTTTGTTTTGCATCTCCGTGAAAAAGGATGCGCAGAGCTATTTAGCTCTCACAAGGGACAATATTTGTCTCTGCATTGGACTTTATTATCTGAACACAAATGAGCCAACGCCTTCGAGCTAGTTCAGGCAGTCAACTCGAGCTGCACTGATTTCACATTTGACATGCCTCATTCTCAATAATCACCGGACAACACCTCCTTCTAATAAGCGGTCTACATCAGCTGCAAGATTAACGTGGGTCTCTCCCACTGCTCTTTTATTGCCAGTTCTGACCAGTACACTCATGCTCAGCCCAGCATCAACCTGTTGGCTCTGAATGGGGTGGGGGCTTAAGATATCATCCCATCACTCCTCACATTTCTGCATGTAAATTAAAACTGTAAGGAGGGATTAGGTCGGAAATATCCAGCCTTTTTCAGCGTTTAAAAGTAAATTGTGTTTTTATTTTCTCCAGTAAGCCTTTGATTCACTCAGGCTCAAGCTATTTGAACCTGAACGCAGCCTTTTAAAATGTTTACCATTTGTTTTCCCTGCAGGTCCATTAGCTTGACCAGTCTGCACTGGTATCCATTCATCATAGAGAGGTAAAGCTTTTTTCACCTGCTCAGGAAATCCCACAGGTCACACATACAGAGAGCCACAAAATGATTTATACTCGTCTCTTCAGTCTGGGCAACCCTGGTCAATTTACTTAATAGATTTGAAGACCATGGAGTTCCATTTGCATGGTCTGGGACCACTGTGTGCTTAAGAAAAACCTGGTGATGAAGACATTGCTCTTGAATTTGCTCCTGGGCAGAAGTCCAGCTAACCGTGGCAGCTGCTGCCTGTAGGAGTAGAAGTGAAGCGATGCGGTTTGACCACAGAGCTGAGGATTTATTGACTTATTCTATCATGTTTGTTTCCAGAGCTTGCATCAGCAGTCCATCTTGTGTGAGGACAGGACTGAGGTTTATCCATCCTGTGAAATAACATCTGACAATGACTCATTCTGTGCAATATGAACAGGCATCAGAAAGTCTGTCAGTCGGGGATACAGTCAGAAAAGTCAATAAATCTTAGTGGCTGAAGTGATATTTTGATTAATGATACATAAAACTGAGATTGTATTTTGCAGACTCACTGTGTGACTCACTGTGTGGGGCTGCATTGTATTTATTGGGTGCGTTTTTCTGTGTTTCACACATTTGTTCCACCCCAAAAGTCACTGGGCATCAATTATAAAGGTACCGTTGCAAAATGTGAGAGCTTGTAGCCTGGATGTAAAATATTCACACAGAAAAAGTCAGAAAAAACAACTGTGTAGATTGAGAGATAAAGACAAACGGGTAATCTAATATTTACTCCCAGTATATATTTTTTTAAACTTGAGTCCATTTTCCACACGTGCTTTCTCGCGTAAATCTGCTCTTCTTGAGTTTTGCGACACAATTTGCACAGAACATACTAACAAGCAAAAACGAGTATGAAGCAGTTTCATTATGTGCATGAAAATACACAGCAGTCGTGGGATTTTCCTCAATATGACCTGTTACGGTCAAGTATCAGCTTATCAAGGTGGCAGGCAGAAAAAACTCTGCATGAAGTCAGGTTGAAAAATTGTGATGTTTGTGTTCACAGATGCAGCTCATCAGGAACATTTTGTGAAATTTTCAGGAGTGCATGTGTGAAAGTGGCTCATGTTATCATACCAACAGGAGAGCAAATATTAATCCATGTGCAAGAAAAACTACAAGCAAGAACTTCCAGCAGAAACAGATTCATTGTTGGGAAAGCCATCTGCTGCGACTGTGTGGGCTGAGCGAGCGGGATAGAGCGAGAGACAAAAAGGGAGAGATGTAGAGTGACGAACAAATAAATAGACAGACAGATAGATGTAAACACATGGGGAAAAACGCTGTGTTTGCACGCACGCACACGCACACACACACACACACGCACACTCTGGAAAAACACAGTGACAGTGACAGCAGAAGTTTCCTGCTGCTTTTGATAGTTATACTTTGGCGATTAGTCTCCAAACTTTAACTCCACTGTGACGCTTGTGAGCTGGGAGATGACTTTTTTCAATCAATGAATTTACCTCAAAAGTTAGAATTTCTGAGCATTAAGACACCTCAGTTACTTTCCCTGCAGTTTTTCCCTTCATAGACTTGCAGCAGTCCATTAGCTGGGTAGCTTCACCTTAGTTGATGTATAAACTTTGGAAGGCAGTAACTCAAGTACAGAGTCCTGGAGCAGAAGCCGTCAAAACATCCAGAGGAGCCAGTTGGAGGGATTATCCAAGCCGCCGACAACTGCTAAGCTGCTCTATTGGCCGACTGCACTTTAATGCATTATTTGCAGTCTGAGTCATTGCGCAAGCAGCCAGTGGCAGTGCCCTGCTGATATTCAATAATACCTAGCCTTTTGTCCCCAGGGTATCATAACAATGACTGAGCTGATGTATGCAGGCTGGTTTTTCTGAGGCTGGCTGTGAATACTATCTGGAAATTGTTTATCAGAACTCCTAGACAATGGAGCAAATTAATCTTTTAAATCAGCTGGTGGTCTTCTGCATCCACTACGTGCACTACATTTCTTTAGCTATATTTCCTCGTTTTAACCCCTGTGGAAATTATTTTGCCCTTTTAAATATGCATTCCCTTTTAACA